AATGATTCTTTGTCGTCTTGTACCCTCTTTTGGAATTTGTAGCGAGCCAATACTTTAATAATATGGTATTTTATATAGCGTCAATATCCAGACGTTCAACAACGCTTTACATTTTCTATAACATTCTCAATAATAGAGTTAAAAATTAAAATTTAGAAAATTACTATCTTATTGATCAATACATTTTTGTTTTAAAAATACATATTTATACATAACATGACATTGCTAGTAAACTTGGTTTAAATATTCCATTAATTGTAATAAAAGTTTAAAATCATAACAACTAAGAGTTATTAAAATTCTAAAATACATTTGTTTCACTACATATAAACATACATAAGACATTTTCCCCCCTTTTGTACTTCAAAATTGCATTGTTAAGAACTTGGTTTTATAAAAATTGCATTCATATATTATAAAAATTGAAACTAATAACGATAGACTAATTACTGATTAAGATAAATTGTACGTTTGTTTAAATAGCCAGGTTTTAAGCTCCCGCTTGAAACTGGTAATTGATACAGAAGACCTAATATTTGCCGGGAGTCTGTTCCATATCTCAGGAGCAGCATTCGAGAAAGCTCTTTACCCATATGTTTTAAGCCTGAAGGAACCTCTGGTTAAAAGATTTGATGATGCTGATCTCAGGGAGCGAGCTGGGACATATGGCTTAACAAGTTCACGAAGGTAGAAAGCAGCAGCATTATTTAGAGCCACGAAGGTTAACAGCAGTATCTTAAATTCAATGCGCTGCTCAACAGCCAACCAGTGCAAGCGAAAAAGAACTGGAGTGATATGATCATGTTTGTGAGCACAAGACACGAGTCGTGCAGCTGCATTCTGAACATGCTGAAGTTCTTGCAGTAAAGATTTTGGCAAACCATACAACAAAGAATTGCAAAAATCAAGTCTGGAAGATATGGATATGAAGGACATGGACAAGAGTTTCGCATGCTTCAACACTGATATATTTACGAATTTTCCATATATTTTTAATATGAAAGAAGCATGACTTGCAAACGAAGGTGATATGCTTTTCCATAGACAATTTCTCATCAAGAATAACTCCAATGTCACGAACAATTGAAGACGGAGAGATATCATAGTCAGAAAACTTTAATAGGTGGACTAAGACGATGAGCAGCGGACACGACAAGAATCTCGGTCTTATCAGCATTCAATTTTAACTTGTGTCTGGTCATCCATTCATCAATTTCACCTACACAAGATTCAAGTTTGTGTTTGGCAGCCTCAAGTTCAGTCATTGAGGAAGTTTCAAATGTTATGTATAGCTGAGTGTCATCAGCATATAAGTGAAACTTAATGTCAAGTCTGCGCAAAATATGCCCAATAGGCGACGTGTATATCAAGAACAAGATAGGTCCCAATACAGAACCTGTGGGACACCACATTTGAAGAAGCGGCTTGTGGATACGCCACCCCGAAAACGCCTATTACTTAGGTAAGACTTAAACCACCTGAGAACACATCCACTCGCACCGAACCTGGAATGCATCCTTTCCAACAAAATATTATGATTAGCAGTATCAAAAGCTGCAGAGAGATCCAGCAATACAGGAATAACAGAACGCTACTCATCAATTGCTTTAAGTATATCATTATGCATCCTTAACAAGGCGGTCTCAACACTATGGTGTTTTTTGTAGGCAGATTGGAAATTTTCATATAAGTCGTTATTCTCAAGATGCTCTATCAGTTGAGCAGCAACAACTTTCTCGAGAACTTTTGAGATAAATCTCAAGTTTGAAGCAGGCCTGAAACTAGAATTGGTCTTATTAAAGCCTCTTTTAAGTTCGATGGCACAGAAGCCGTAGATATTGAAAGATTTACAGTATTTGTCAAAACCGGAAGAAGTACCTCAAAGCAGTTTTTCAAAAGCATACCTGGCACAGGGTCAAGATCACATGACTTAGCCACTAAGGGAAGGATGAGTTTTGAAAGATCATTTGATGAGATTTCCCTCAAAGATGTTGAATACTTGTCAAGTGCTAAACCTTCATGCAAATTACCATCATAAACACAAGCATCATCGAAACCAGCCTGGATAACCTTTATCTTTTTCTCGAAAAAGTCGGCAAAAGAATTAGCAAGTTCATCAGGAGAGGAAGACGCAGGAAAAAGTGGTCGGCTTTCTTATTTGTCAATTTCTCAAACGTGGAAAAAAGAACTTTCTGATTAGACTGATGTTCGGAGATAATGTTGGAATAAAATTCATTTTTAGTTGTTTTGATAAGAGCTCTAACCACATTACACTAATCCACATACAACTGACGGTCTATAGTCAGACGATATTTCCTCCAAGCTCTTTCCAGATGCCTCCRTTTTATTTTCTCGGCCTTGATTTCGTCAGTGTACCAGGGGGCAGATGGATCCAAAGTTATTATAYGCTCTTTAGTTGGTGCATGATGGTCTAGTACACTATTGAGTGCAGACTCATATTGATGAAGTAGCCCAACAAGATCAGTTTGTGGAGAGGTAATTAAAAGTGACTCAGCAACTTCATTTGAAAAAGAATCAAGATTTATAGCTTTTAATTTGCGGCATTTAGAAACGGGTTTTTCAAAGGGTTGCTTCTTTAATAAAAGATCACAAAAACAAAAAAAACACAGCAGAATGGTCTGAAATAGCTGGATCAAAAACAGAGACATGGTCTATGACATGTTCATCAGCCCTGGTAATCAGAAGATCGAGAATATGATTTCCTTGATATGTAGCCTGCCTGACATGTTGAGTCAGGTTAAAACATTCTAAAATATTTAGAAACTGAAGAGCAGCTACATTAGAATTGTCCTCCACATGAAAATTAAAATCCCCAACTAAAAGAAGTGAGCCTGAGTCTGTTGAAAATTGTTCTAAAAAAGTAGAAAACTCCTCAAAAAACATTTTATTAGTGAAATTGTTGCCACTGGAAGGAGGAGGTCTATAAACAACAAAAATAGAAATGTATCCGGGAGAAGATTGTACAGTCATTCCCATGACTTCAAAAGATTTAAACTTATTAAAAGAAATTTTCTGTATTCTCAAAGACTTCCTATACAACAAACCAACACCACCTCCTCTGCCTTTTCTGGCAACATGTTGGCGTTATTTCATTTATAATAAGTTGATCATTTGATTCATTTGACTTTAACCAAGTTTCAGTTCAATCGCTTGATCTAAGTTGATATGCTTGTCCCTGTGGACATCAGGGCAAGTCCATTCAACCTATCTTGTGTCATGGTATTTCTAAGATATGTTTTTCTGTATCTGAGAATTGAGACGGACCGTTCACATGTAGCTGAGGAAATTGGAACAGTGGCAAGAAGTTGCAATATTGTGAAGATATTACAAATGGCTTGCTGGTCAACAACTGCCAATGCCTCTGAAACTCTGTCTGGAATATCAGCTGCTCTACCTCTGTTCTGTTGATTTCTCAACAGCCTTTCCCACATAATCAGTTCTGCCTCCAGACCTGCAACATTGGGAGTGTCTCTTCTCTAGTAATTACAAAATTCTTTTTAAATATAAAATTAGCCTACCATGAGGCTAGATTTTCAAGCGTTACAGATGAGGTGATGAAATGTCGCATCAATGTCACTTTGCATATCTGCTAAAGCACGCTTTAGTATAGATGTTTCCTCTTTCGCCGGATCAATTTCTTTTCTTTGTAATTTAAGAGTCAATGATCTGGTCAAATCAAGAATATGCCTGACAACAACAATGGCAAAAATAAATTGGAAAGTAATAGCATTTAACAATGACTGAGCATCATTTCTGCTGTTGATGTTCCAATTCCCATCCCAAACCCCTGTTCACTGAAATGTCCTCAAGTGCTGAGGCCACAGGCAACAGCATCTCCACAATCCTTGGCCCATTCCATCAATCCTTTCCACCCACCTGGTTCTGCATACATCTATTAGAACACGATGGTTGTTTTCAGGGAGCAGTTCCTTTATTTTCTCAACCAGGTGTTGAAGCTTCGGCGAATTGTTGAAAAACTCTGATAGCTTCCTTACAGTTATCACCATATATATTTTGGACCAAGCACGCCAGACATTACTTTTGTGACACGCCTAACCACAGTGGAAACTGTAGATCTTCCAGTTCCAAAGGCATTTGCCAACTTGAGCATTCTCTCTTTGTCAGACACGTAATAGACTAATTGCTACTTGTTTCTTTACAGATAAAGGTCCAATCTCTTCACATAATCTCTCGAACGTACTGCGTGTCACTGACCTGGTTGTTGATAAAGTTATCCCACCAGACAGAGGTTCGACCTGGTCTTACCTAACATGATCTTCCACATGAAAATCTTCTGTTATTAATTCTTTTGTAGCTTTTCAACAACAGCCAAAGCTTAGCTCTATCCCGTCGCCTTTCCCAGTACATTAAAGCAATATAGCTATGAACGCAAAATTATAAGTGCAGCACCGAAAATGATAAATTGATCAACGAATAAAATATTGAAGTAGTTTTCGCCTCTCCGCCATCTTGAATCTGTATTTTAATACTAGTTACCAACTCCCTTTCTTTACTCAAACCACTTAAACTTCCGGCTACATACCGGATCGTGCTGTTAATACTGCACTTTAATCGGCATAAAAACCTATACGAAGTGTATCACTTTCGAAACCGGGGTGGAGCAACATCTATCCAATACAAAAGTCACTCCAAAAACAAGYGCTCCATGTGTGAACAGAAGGCCTATCCGGCATATTTTTCGAGCCGAAACGATTGCTATCCGGTATATTGTGCACATATCCTCACACTGCCGGTCAACTACACACTCTGTTGACATTCAATCTAACATCAAACCATGAAAACAAACGTGCAAATGTTTCCAATAAACACTAAATCGCAATCCGCTGTAAGCTTTCTTTCATTTCTGCTCTCCTAGAAATATATATTACTAAATAGTTTAATCATTGTATACACTTTTGATTATATTTATTATGTGCAAACTAGTTCATCGTGAAACAAATTTTTCATTGTTATTGCAGGGCCTTGCAAAACGCAGAGTTAAGAGGAATTCCAGATCTCAGCAAAAATCCAAAACTTTTATATCTGTGAGCACTAAGGCCCACATATTCCCCCAAATAAAATCCCCCAACTTTTGTTGGAAAGTTTGCCATTTTAGTTCCCCTATATATATTTTTTATATGATTTTCCTCATATTTTCCTATTGACCTCAACTACGTAAATTTTTTAATGCAAACAAAAACGTTAGTCATTCTATACCCAAAACAACCCAAGAGCCAGTTCGACATTAACGGATATATTGGATATATTAATAATTCAAGAATATGTTTTAGCTTCTTATCTAAAAACAGAATAAAGACTATAAAAGACGGAACATTCTTGTTCAACTCTTTACTAAAACAGTTGTGAGTAAACTTATTACAACAAATAGCTAATGAATAAGAGTGATAAACGTCGAGTAATCTATGGCTAGTAGCAGGCTCATAGTGACAAACACCCTGTTGGCACTCGTTGTGGCAAACGGCAATTGATGTTTGTAAGTGTAAGTAGAGAAAGAGCCATAAGGTGAAGACCTTAGTTTTGTGATCTCAAAAAATGGAAATTTAAGACTTTTATTTATTTAGTGGTTATTTATTTATTCTCCATTTGTTTTATATGCCAGAGGCGTTTATAAACTTCAATGATTTTTTATTTAACCTATACGGGTAACAAATAAATTTTGTTTCAGAATTATAAATAGCAACAACATTGAAATCCTGTCAAACGAAAGTTTTACTGGGGCAACAAGTCTAGAACTAATGTAGGTATTCTAACAAAACATCACATCACTATACATAACAAATGACTAGAAAACCTTTATATGCAATTATCTAAAAATACGACTTCTGTAAATATCGAGCAACACTTTGCCTTTCAAATGTTCAACTCGAGTGAAAGGGGGAGTGTTTTATTGCTTCGCCCCTAGCCTGGCCAACCAGATTGCAAGTCTGCAAATTTTGATATTTAGATTTTTTAAATTAATCAGCATTATTGCATCCCATAGAGATTTATCTAATAATCCAGTGAGGCAAATTGCAGACAGCACTTTTTCCCACAAAGCTCTAAATATGGTGTAAGTATATGTAGCTTGTATTTTTGTACACAAAACTTACAACTGCAGTAAACCGGTAGAATGTTATAGTTTGACTTCTGTTAAATATTGCATGAGTTTTTTWAAAAAAAAGCTAAAATCGATGTTCTTGTCCTTCAGGTTATTAATCAACACCGTACTCCAACACCCTTTACTGATTTCAACCGCGTCGCATCCCATATTCTCATTTATCTTGTAAGATTATGAATATAATGTTTTGAATTTACTGCATCAATCAATCTCATTTGCATGATTTATTAATGTTTCTGTTAACCCTCGGGCATCTTCTGGCCGTATTTTGAAATTGTTAGTGAAATTGTTGCTTAATGGACAACATTGTATTTGTTTATTTTGCTTTGGCAAATATGCTGCAAATCTCTTGTATCCATAGATTCTTAAACTCATACAGTAGAAACCTGCTATTTCTAAGTTACGAATTAGCAAAATACCGTCCACATTTTCGCTTCGCCACGAAAGAGATTAGTATTTTCAAACAGTCATAATGGAAGGTTATACTACAAGGAAAAAATATTTTTGATTTTCAATAACAAAGAGCATAGGTGTTTTCTGCTTTTGAAAACCGTGTATATTATTGCTGTTCTCTCATTAGGCACTCTCATCCAGTGCTCATTATAAGTTTTCAAACTTTTTTTCCAAATGTTTTTAGTATTTTGAAATGACGAAATCATGCTTTAAGAATGCTCATGGGTAAAAGCTTCCATCCTCAGATTTTTTTTAACATTTTGCATGATGAAACTACGTCGTACTAGAAGTAAAACAAGCAAATAAAATATGGTGGTCGACTTCGTTTACCCGTCAGAATGCGTGGAGGTCCACCCTTAGTAGACATGGAAAGCTGCGAAAAATAAACCATATTTTACTGAAAAGCTAAATTAATCGCCCACAATTCACCCAGAACTCTAAAAACTAACCAAATAATCAGTTACCTTTCAAACTTTGGGTTTAAAATGAGAAATATACAATGTTATTTGGCTACAAGTGTGAACTTGCAGCCTTCACGATACGTGGAATTCAATTCCATTATGCACAAAAAATGTAATCTCGATTTTTTCCCATCGTCAGATTTTTCTTAAATTTCCCCACTAAAGTTGGGTATTATAAAATAATTTTTTTAAAAATGAAACGAAAATAAGGGTCCCCGACTTYATTTTAGAGCTCGAAAATATTAAAGACGTTTTCATGATATTTTGCTTATCAAAAAATTGGAATGACGCCATCGCGGTGAGCGCCCGCTCACCAAATTCGTGCATAGAAAAGAATTGGTGTGAACAAGCCAATAAACGTCCTTAATACTAGGCCAAAAGTCAATATCGGGCAATACTTCTTTCTTTAATACTAGACCATCAAATATGCCTACTTTTGCCTCTTCACATAGTCAGCCGAATGCTTTATCAAAAAAAAAAAAAAAAAAGACTTTGTGCGATTTTGGAAAAACAGATGTTGAACTTTTTAATGTTATTTTTCAAAATAATTAACCCAAGAGGTTTTATTGGGACAATAAAAAAAACGCATCGATTTTTACAGACAGATGCTCTTGCAATGCTGTAAATAACCTTAAGATAACAGTTTTTCCCCCAAACACCAACAAAAAAACGTTTTTTAATATTATTTCTAAACCACTTTTGAAAAACATTCATTTTGTTACATTCCGTACTCCCTTTATATAGGCTATCGTCCGATTTGGAAAGTTCTGTCATTTCTGATGAGCCAAGTTATGATGAAATTTTAGCCTCTTCTGGTTACCTATGTAAGGAATTGAACTTTTTGGAGACGAAATGCTTCCCCTGTAAACTTGGAACATACATTTCCAGTTCTGGCGATCGATGTGAAAACTGCCCTGCAGGTAATTTATTCGCCTTTTAATAAAGTTTCGTATTACTAAAAAACATTGTAACAAGGAAATTAATAACGTACCACGTTGTATGTTAGGTGGATTTTACCAAAATGAGGTGGCCTACACTGGCATCAAGTCACATGGCATGGGATGTAAGGAATGCCCTCATGGAAAATACGTTGCACCAGAGAGAATCCCAGGACGAGCCGAGACAGATTGTCAATCATGTCCATTAGGTATTCATTGATTTCTTATTCTCGGCCATATTTGGTGAAGGGTTTGCATCATTGCAGGAGTTTTAATAGCATCCTTGGCGGCGCATCATAGGCATGCCAATAATAAGGACTTTATGCACCGACGATGGGAGTCCTAAACGACGGTATTCCCCACCGAAAAAGACTAGATCGAGAGACGTCGTCGTCCATTTGCCAACATCGAGTAAACACAATTACGAATAAGACTAGACGGGGCACACGATATATCTTGGTGGGACATTTAATCGTGATTGTTTGATTGCGCCAAGTATGAGCTGAATTATTTTATTCTGTTTATTTGAGGAAATGTTTCACTCCTGTTGACAACAATTACAACATTTATTTTCATATGAGAGCAAACAATCACCAAATCTATGACAGACTTACGTATGCGCAACTAAATTGTATGACGTCAACGAACAAACAAATATAGAAAATATACACAGGAAGCCCGTCGCCAAAAACCAGAAAGGAAGGGTTTACGAGCCGGGAAACCTCTTAGTAATGAATTTAGGAAATAGATCCTTAATCTATATAGTAATGGGTATTCCAAGAAACAGCTATCTCGTAGTTTAATGGTATCAACTCTTTCTGTCGCAAAGGTAATTGTTTGTTTCATCCAATCAGTAACCGAATAATGTTTTGAATATTCGTTTACATATTTGCAAACGGGATGCATTCTTGAAACAAATAATGGTTGAAATAATCATACAATAGAATGAATAATGTATTCTTTGGAGGTATGCTTGACCTGGTTTGACTGTAAATGCTACTACAACGTAACCCTAAGGTGGACAATAATTGCTTTCGAGCTTTCGACCCAAGCGGTCATCATCCATTTAGAATGGTGGGTATAATTTCCTATATCTCTAATTTTATTTTAAACCTATCATTATATTGAATTTTGCAGGAACAGAACTGGATAAATTTTCTGGTTTTCGTGCATGTAGCTGTCTTGACGAACATTACCGACTCAGTCGCTTTGAAGGCTGTCTTATCTGCACCAAAGGTTACACATGTGTAAATGAAACAATTGATTTGGCAACAGGTTTCTACTGGATATGGAGCTCAAGGGAAATAGCTGAGCAGTATCGAAAGTTTTCTACAGAACTGCAAATTAGGGAACGTAACTATGACCCCAATTTCATAAGCTTCAAAGGTAGCATTCCCGTAGCCTATGCTTGTCCTGTTGCCGAGTCCTGCATTGGTGGTTTATATTCCCAATGCAAAGCGGGCTATGAAGGTCCTCTCTGTGCTATCTGTGCAGCAGGGTACTTTCGATTTCTATCTAACTGCGAAAAGTGTCCAACAATTCCTTGGATTGTAGGACAAATAACCCTGATCCTTTTTGTCTTTATTCTTCTGTTGATTATTATCTTAAGAGATAAAAAAGACAAGAATCAAAATGGGAGGACAATAACTGACATTATTCTTGCACGACTCAAAATTGTCATCGGATTCTACCAAGTGTCATCGTCTACCTTTGACTCCTTGTCCTACATCAGCTGGCCAGGTCCTCTTCTAGAGATCATGAAGTATGCCAAGATGCTTCAACTCAATCTCTTACAGATTCTCCCCCCAAGTTGCGTATCCAACTCAATACATACCAATGCATATACCCACTTCCTCATCAGCATCGCCTTCTCTGCTACAGTTGTGTTCTTTTGTCTTATCTTTCTGGTTCTGATGAGAATGCAGATCAATCGCAATAATACACTAAGCGTGTCTGCCAAGAATGACAAGATTTTCAATACCAAAGTACAAAGCTACAAATGTCTCTTCCTTGTCCTGTTTATCACCTTTCCATCTACTTGTTCCATAATATTCAAGATCTTGCCCGAGTCGTGTCACGAACTGTGTTCCCATTCGAATAGCCAATGCATGTCGTACCTCCGTGCAGACTATTCCATCAAGTGTGATGATGCAACGCACAGGATCTATGGAATCCTCAGCAGAGTAGCCTTGCTGTACACCTTCATCTTTCCATTGTTCTTGCTTGTTATCCTCAAGCGCGAGAGAGAAACACAGATGAAAGAAAACCAGAAAAACGCCTTTCCCGTTTTGCAGGGTACTAAATTCTTGTATGAAAACTACTCGCCATCCTGTTGGTATTGGGAGATCCTTGAATTAACGAGAAAGATTTTGGTTTCCTTGTTTTTGATCATGTTTCAAGTTGAAAGTCGCATGGGCTTGGGAGTGACTACCATCTTATCCGGAGTTTACGCCGTAGTCTTTGCTCTGTATAAACCCATTGAAGATAAGTTTGAGCATTGGCTACAAATGGTTTCTTTGTTAGCGACTTCTGTGAACTTCACCGTTGGAATGCTGCTGAAGATCCCATTGGAGGAGACGTCATCCAGCATTAGCAGCGAAACAGATGCTCTCATTGTTACAGTTGTACTCATGGCTGCCAACGTTGTTGTCATTGGACTTATTGCAGGTAAGAAATAAACTAACTGAAGTGATGCAGATATTTTCTGTCTCTTCCTTCAAACAACCCATAGGGCAAAATTTAGATATCAATGCTATTCGTTAAAATATCAATTTTTGAGTAGCACTAATTCCATTTTTTTACTATAAAGAATTTGCTTCTACCAATGTCAATTTATTTCAATTGAGCTTTCGCCCTACTAGTGCATCATCAGAGCTAAAGTAATTTGTAAACAATGATTCAAATAATCTAGAAAACTCAGTATTGGGCGCACAATATAAACAAATAAGATGTTGCTATATGTTGCGTATGTAAACAAGCCTATCTAACGGATATTACATGAGGCGCTATAGAAAAATGAATTAAAATGCGTGCAAGAAAATAAACAATTACGAAATAAATACTAATAAAAGGTAAACCCATGGTAAGCTCGTAAAGCTTTTTGAGTACCAATGAACTAAGATGATAACAAATGACACTTGGTGACTCATTTCATTGAGGGTATTGTGACCCGAGTAAGGCGATAGACGGAGTTATGTTTTGTGCAAACAAACTGTTGTCTTTATCAATTAAATTATTGAATTTTTCTACGATTGAGATTATCCGTGGACCGAGTCTAACCGCCATCCAATATATGACAAACCAGGCTATTTTCGGATTCTTCTCCCAATGTAATGATAAATACGACAATCTCATATCTCAAGGTCCAATAAAAAAAACAAAGTAAACTAAGAATACTCAAAATATGCTGCTGATTACATATGATTATGAAGTAATCGAAAATCCAAAATGGCTTCCTCTGCAAACAACATGCGTGGATACTTTCAGTGACGTCACTTGGCTAATACAATGGATTCCATGGTTACGGGAATTACCCAAAGCGATTGGCTGAGAAGCGTTATCCGAAAAATGCGAAATCTAGCCACCCCAATACCTATTCACGAGCTAAAAATGAATGAATGAATGAATGAACAAACGAATGAATGGATGGATGAATGAATGATAAACATTATTAAATGAATTAAACTATCTATTATAGTAATGATGAAAAGGTAAATTATACACCGTGAAAAGATGAAAAAACTTACTGAAGTTTCGGACGCTAGTCCTTCGTCGGAGTAAAAGAGAAAGAAGTGGCACTTCTTTCTCTTACTCCGACGAAGGACTAGCGTGCGAAACGTCAGTAAGTTTTTTCATCTTTTCACGGTGTATAATTTACCTTTTCATCATTACTCTTTCATTAGGAACACCGACGCAGCTCACACTAGTTTTTAGCTAGTTATATCTATCTATCTATCTATTATAGGATAGTTTTAATTTAATTGGTTCATGCCTAGTTCATAACTTCATTTTCTTTGACAAACTCAACTTTTGTTTCACTCTCTTGTAGTGTCATATATAGCCAAAATGATCTCAGCAATCAACGAACTAAGGAAGACCCCACAATGCAGTTTGTCGTGCTTTTTGAGTGTCTTGCAGCTTGCTAGCGAGGCTCCAGGCGTTGGAGACAATGTCGATCAAAATCTTGCTCAAGCGGATACAAGCCAAGATGATATGCTGACTTGTGATGTAGAACGTATCCAGGAGGTGGAAATCGAGGAAGAAAATAGTACATCGCTTGATGAAAAACTTGAAAACGACCAGAGCGAATTTGAAAACCGTGAGAAGATTAAGAATAAGAAGAACATATAGAACGATGATTTAATGCAACTATATATTCCTACGCGCTTTTACGCTTTACGTTCAGGCAATAACGTTTATTAGAATAGCAAAAAGATCTATAAAACTACGGACATAGATCATTTACAATTAACCATTTTCATATAGAGTCGTTTTCATATGACCGTGAAAGAATAGGCAAACTAATAGTCAGTACTTGTTGGTAATTGGTGGTAATAAACCCATTAGACTTAACTATACACTAGGTATATGACAAGAATGACAAGACAAAAATGTAATAAGCCAAGAAATTTGTTTTTATTTATATCTCAGTTGTCATGAAATATTTGTGATAATGTTTGTATATTTCACACCATAAGAACTGAAACAAGATTTTACAAAACACATGATGCTCAAGCACAGGGAGCGACCATTAGATTT